TATCAGATGCTTTTTTTTATTATCCTCACCCAAGGACATTTTTTCCATTGCTTTTGCTTTTTAGAGAGAGTGGAAGGGAGAGAAAGAGAAACATCGATGTGAGAGAGACACATCGACTGGTTGCCTCCCATCTGGGACTGGGGATCGAGCCTGCAACCTAGGTATGCTCCCTTGACCGGAATTGAACCCGGGACCCTTCAGTCTGTGGGCCGACACTCTAACCACTAAGCCAAGCCGGCTAGGGCTGTCAGCTGCTTTGGAGTCAGGCTTCAGTCTCTTCTCTCCAGGAGCTGAGTGAGGGAGACTGCACATCATAGGTAATTGCCCACATGCTCTAATGGAGGAAATTCAACTATTACAGGGCCTAGCAGCTTGAGTAAAGGTGATGGTGACATCTAATAAGATACGGACTGACAAGGAATCACTTTGTTTAGCAAATAAGGGGCCATAAGAGAGAGAGCAGTTTCAGTGAGATGATGGGGAGAAAAAATTGAGGGGCTGAAGGGGAAGGAGCCTATTAAGAGGAAGAAAGAGGAAGCTAAAGTCCCTTTCAGAGGCAGAGTGGGAGATTCAGAGCTTAGGGAGAGGGAAGAACCTTGGGCAAGAAGGAGAACAGCCACCTTCCTCTAAGATGGAAAGGGAGTGAGAGGGGGCAGGCAGGGAGGAGAGATGTAATAGAGTTATGTCTTTAGGATGGAGAGGAAAGTTGAAGGAATTCATGACAAGTGGCCTCTGCTGTCTGGGTGAAGTAGAACCAAGGGCTTGAGAAGAGGGGTAAAGATTTGGCATGGCAGCTTGAGGGCATAGCTGAAGGTTCCACAAGGCACACTTCAGAGAAGTACCCTTGTCAGTCACCAGTGTGAGTGGCCCTGGACTTTATCCAGCAGTCAGTAGCCTGGTGTCTCAGAGTGGAGAAGACAGAAACATTGATCCAGGATTGGAGTAAGAGGAAAAGGAAGTTAGGACTTTGAGGGTCTTGACAATGGAATCATTGAAATGGGTCCCAGCTGGGAGGTGAAAACAGGAGGGGATTGAGAACTGGCAAAAATAGAAAGTGGCCAGCACCTGGTACCTAGATGAGACCCGTGTGCAGGGACAGAGAGAATGTGTGTATGGAAGCCGTTCCTTCTCCCCCTGAGGACTCAGTCCTAGCCGAGTTGCTCAGGGACCTGTTACATCAAATTCTCCCTTGCAGGGCTGGTGAAAGCTGTTAACACTGCAGTGGACCTCATAGTGGCCCATTTTGGCACAAGCAGGGATCCTGGGGTGAAGGTAGGCAAGAAACTGTGGAGAGCCGAGCTCTATCCTGCTGACCTTCACCTTCCCTGTGCTGCCACCTTCCCGTGCTCTCTTGCAGATATCTAGAACCCAGAGCTGATACTTAGGGATGGGGATCACAACAGAAGCACCATGAGGGCTAAGAGGGTCAAAGAGGACTAGGGTTGGGCTTCAAATGATTCCTGTACTTCCCTACTGCATCCACAGGCAAAGCTGGGGAACAGTTCTGTTAGCCCGAATGTAGGCCACCTGGTTCTGAAGTACTTGTGCCCTGCTGTCCGGGCTGTGCTGGAGGATGGGCTCAAGGCCTTTGTGCTAGATGTCATTATCGGTCAACGTAAGAACATGCCGTGGAGTGTGGTTGAGGCTTCTACACAGCTAGGTAAGTGCTGGGTGCAAGGTAGGGACCCCAGGGTGAATTTAGGGTTCCAGAGATTGAGCATGTGACCTCCAACTCTGACTTCTTCCCAGGCCCATCCACCAAAGTCCTGCACGGCCTCTACAACAAAGTCAGCCAATTCCCAGAGCTCACCAGTCATACCATGCGCTTCAACGCCTTCATCCTCGGCCTGCTCAAGTAAGTGTGTGGTGGTGCAGCAAGATCTGCAAAGCCATATCCCTCTCCCCTGGGCTCTGCTGCCTCTGAGGAAGCACCTCCCTAGACTGAGACAGAAAGGGGGATCTATTGGGTCTGTGGCCCAGGCCCAGGCTCACTTTCTCTCTACCTAGCTGTATACAGCCTCTCAGTAGATCAGTGGTTTCCCACCACACCCACGACCTTCTGGAACTGACACCAACATGGTCTTCTGCTTTTACAAATCCACAATCTGGTTTTTTTGGAAATTAATCCGATTCTCAGTTTCTCTGGCTATTGTAAACCGTGATCCTCTCAATGCCAGCACTGCTTGCAAATCCTGCTTGACCCTAAGTCCACCTTGGGACCCAGGTCATTGTATTCTTCTTTCTCATGTATGGGCCCAGGTCACCCCCTTTGGCTCTGTACTGTCACTCAGTAGCTGCCCTGACTTCCTGGGTTTTGTGCAAGATGACTCTATTCTAGGAAGAAGTGATTGGTTTGTGAATCACATGTTCACCCCCTCCCTACATCTTTACTGACTTTTCAGAACTATATGACATCAAATGAATGAGGTAGCATCCCTTCCATAGAAGGGAGATGTTCACCTATATTCTGTACTGTGTCTGATCCCTGTGTCTGTCTCCTTTGTACCTTATTATCTGGCTATGTCCACATAAGACTCAACTCTCTTCACCTATCTCCCTACAGCATCCGGTCCCTGGAGTTCTGGTTTAATCACCTCTATAACCACGAAGGTAATGCCCAGAACCCTGCCCTATCTTGCAAGCTCAATATAGGCCAGACCTCACAGGCTCAAAAGAGGGAGGCACAGCTGTCTTTTCAGATGCTACCGTTGGAGAAGAGAACCACACAAGCCTTCATCCTCAAAGCTTGGGCTTCTACCCAAGTCCTTCCCCAGCTTCTGCTGTGTTAGAGCCTTGCAGTCAGCAGGATACTCAGGCAGTCTGGAAGTCAGGGTGGCCAGGAAGCCCAGCACCTCTCTCCTTTGGACTCGGGGCTGTCACTTAAGGCTGTGGAGTTAAAGCACTGTACTGCGTCAGGAATCGTCTACACTGTAGTACCTCTAAAAGGCACAGTCCACAGCCTGTGCAGCATGGTGCAGTGGCTCTGCCCAGGATGCCTGTCAAAGGCCCACCCCAGGCCAGGCTCTGTTTTCCTGTGTGGCTCAGTCCCTCTCTCTTTCTCCCCTAGATATCATCCAGACCCACTACCAGCCGTGGGGCTTCTTGAGTGCAGCGCATACCGTGTGCCCTGGCCTCTTTGAGGAGCTGCTGCTGCTGCTACAGCCCCTGGCCCTGCTGCCCTTCAGCCTTGACTTGCTCTTCCAGCACCGGCTGCTGCAAAGTGGGCAGCAGCAGCGGCAGCACAAGGAACTGCTGCGTGTGTCCCAGGACCTACTGCTGTCCGCCCACTCAACGCTGCAGTTGGCTCGGGCCCGGGGCCAGGAGGGCCCTGGAGACATGGACAACACAGCCCATGGGGAACGGGTGAAAGGTGTGGGCGCACCAGAAGGTGGAGAAGATGAGGAGGAAGAAGAGGAGGAAGAAGAGGTGGCAGAGGCAGCCTCTTCGGGCTCAGGGCGTGGCAGAGCCCGAAGTGGGCAGGCTGGCTGGTGGTACCAGCTCATGCAGAGCTCCCAGGTCTACATCGATGGCTCCACTGAGGGTTCTAGGTTCCCCCGTGGTGGCAACAATAGCTGCAGTGGCAGCAGCAGTGAGAAAAAAAGGGGGGCAGGAGGTGGGGGGCCACCCCCCCGAGAGGGAGTAGTGGAGGGAGCTGAGGCCTGTCCTGCCTCTGAAGAGACCTTTGGCCAGGACAGGGGCTGGCCCTTCTGGATGGGGAGCCCCCCTGATTCTGTGCTGGCTGAGCTGAGACACAGCCGGGAGAGAGAGGGGTCTACTGCCCCCCCAGCAGAAAGTGAGGAAGGAGCCTCCGGGCCTTCACCTGGGGGCATCAAGTGGGGACACCTCTTTGGGTCCCGAAAGGCTCAGCGCGAGGTCCGGCCCACAAACAGGTGAGAGGCAGCCCATGGTGTAGACAGAGGGAGTGGGGAAGCCTGATCCAAGCCAGGGCACAGACAGACAGAGCCCCGACTGCTATCCCCTAGGCTACCCTCCGACTGGCTGAGTCTGGACAAGTCCGTGTTCCAACTAGTGGCGCAGACAGTAGGTGTCCGCAGGGAACCAGAGCCCAAGGAGAGCATGCAGGAGCCACATTCTCCAGCCCTGCCCTCCAAGCCTCCGTGGTGAGCCCTGGGAGACTGAAGGGCTGGGGGCTGAGTTTGGTTTTGGGCGGCATTTCTCTAACCTCCATTTGTTGTTTCCCCAGCGAGGTAAAGGCACTGTGCCACCATCTGGCCACAGGCCCTGGACAGCTGAGCTTCCACAAGGGAGACATCCTTCGAGTGCTGGGGCCCGCCGGAGGAGACTGGCTGCGCTGCAGCCGTGGCCCTGACACCGGCCTGGTACCTCTGGCCTATGTGACCTTGACCCCAACTCCAAGTTCAACTCCTGGAAGCAGCCAAAACTGAGGCCCTGTGCATGCTGGTGACCTCAGGGACCCTCATAACCCCCAGACTCAGAGCCTGAGAGTCCTTCCCAAGCCCTCTGGCTTGGCTGCAGAGGTCAGACTGAGAGCTGGGGCCACATATTCCTGTGCTCAGTATTAATTACTCCCCCTTAACTGTCCCATGACTTTGCCCAGACCTCCACCCAGGAAAGGAGGGAAGGGACACAGCACTGGGCTGCCAGGATTTCCCTGGCCCATTTCGGCCAGCCTTTCCGTGGGTACAGACAAGCATGTCCTCATGGATGGAGGTGACCAGAAGGCCCATTTGCAGGGCTCCCTAGGCCAGGTAGTGAGGATGATGGGTGACAATATAGGGGCCAGATCCCTAAGCTCCCAGATGTAAATAGGCTATGGCCAATGCCTGGTGGTCAAAAGAGGGAGGAGGAGCCCAGGCTTCTGTTTATGTATTTATTTATTTATTTATTACACCTATTAATAAAAAAGGTGCTTGGCCTCCAAAACATTTTCTTTTTGTGCCTCCCCCTACCCTCCAGCCCATCTCTCTCTCTTCCAAAAGGATGGCTGGAATACATGAAAAGGGAGGAGAGAACTTGAAGTCCAGGTACCTACGCCACGAGCTGCTTCTGGAAGGTGCTGAGGCCCAGAGCATCATGGGTGAGATGCCCATATGTGCGGCCAAACTGGAACTTATACCCTGTGTGGCCAAGAGAGTCTGTCACATGTAGTCAGTGCCATGGAAAAGCCATTTATTTCTCTGCCTGTTGCCTAGACCCTCCAAGCTGCCCTCCAAAATCTGGGCCAATTTTCCACTGTGAGCTACCTCAGTTTCCTTTTCTGCCCAATTATAAAGCTGAACTACATGATCTGAGGTCCCCCATATCTATTAGTTCCAATCCCCCAAACCACCTCCACACACACACACACACACGCACACACACACACACACACAAATATTTCAGTCCCCAAAGCCTCCCTTTGGGGCCATCCTAACCTGGCACATAGCCCCCATAGTTAGGTAAAAGGCCCAGGTTCTGAGGGTAGGTCTTTGAAAGTGGGGGGAGATGTTTGAGACCCTTCTGGGCTTTGCCCCGTGAGTACATCTGTCCAAATTCCTGCAGTGCCTGGTTGGTGAGCACAGGAAAGCTGGAGCCGAAGAGGAAGCGGGCACGGGGCACATAACCAGTGAAACCTGGGGGGATGGGGATACTGGATCAGGACCTCCTGGGGGCCTCCCCACACCTTTGGTCATTACCCACCTCCCCTCACCTGACATGAAGAACTTGTGAGGATCTCTGTCATCCATCGAATAGGGGGAAGCCTTGTGAGGGAAGTTGACAGAAGGAAAATGGGGCTATCATATTTAGCCCCTGTGCTCTCACACAGCTCCCAGGGAGGTGGAGCTGGCAGTCAAGCCCATGTCCCCAGCCTACACAGAGGTAAGGCTCCCCACTCCCACCACACTCACTCCCCACCCCACCTCCGACCCCCAGCCTTCTCAGTCTCACTTGTCCTGCCTCCTGCCCCAGCTCTGGCTCCTCCACCTCTGGCTCTGGCTTTGGCTTTGGCTCTGGCTCTTGGTCTTTCTCCACACCTTCTCCCTTGACCTCCTTTGGCAGCTCCTGACTCCCTTGGTCCTCATGCCACTCAGTAAAATCATTCAGAGCCTCAGCCCAGACCTGGCTGCAATTCTTGGCAAAGATGAACTGGGCCTGGGGGACAAAGCCTGGGTGCGCAGGGAGCAAGGAAGATTCTGTTAGAGTTTGAGACACACATTCAGGGATGGGGCAACTGTTCATATTTGTGTACATACCTGTGTACCCAGGGATCATGCTGGAACTGAGCCTTTTGTGCCCACGCCTGACAGGCAGGCTTCCCCTAGGAACCTCGGTTGATCTTGGGGGCCGAATGGGAGGCAGAAGTATGCGACAGGCAGGGGGCCAGGCTAGGCCAGGAGCTCCTTGAAGTAGCTGACCAGTCATCTGCCCATAGGTCTGGCCCATGCTGAACCGAAGTAGTGGGCAGTGTCCGGTGTACCTAGTACAGGACTCACCCACTCATCTCTAGAGTCCCTCTGCCCTCCCCTCCCCAGAGATAGAAGCAGAGACCTCTGAAGCCCTGATCTTTTCTGCACTGGGCTGGTTATATATTTGGAGCAGGCATTTCTCAGTTCTCCGTGTGGGTTTTCAACCCTTCCCCTCTGCTGTTACCCTGTTACCATGGTAAAGACAACACAAAGCTTTGGGGCAGGCCCCGCGACCACTATTCCTTGCTTTTCATTTTCTATCCAACACCACAGATATCACAGCCCTGGGCCTCCTGTACAGGTATGTCCACTTGACCCCCAAGGTCTAGGGGATACAACTCCTGTATCCCTAAACCCCTGTTCCCAGAAGCGAGCAGGGCTGTAGAAGTCTTACCCCGGGATGTAATGAGGATTCTGAGGGTTGAGCCCCGGTATGAAGGTGCTGGCCGTAGCCATGGGAACACAGGCAGTCTCTTGTTTCCCTTTGAGCAGAGGCTCTGTGCTGTGTACACTGTGTCCAAGGCTGTGGGGCAGAGCCAGAGGCAGGGGCGGGGCTGGGGGAGGAG